AAAAAAAAAAAAAAGAAAGAATAAAAATAGGACTTGGGGAGTAGCTCAGTGGTAGAAAATTTGTCTAACATGCATGAGACCTTGGATTTGGTTCCCAGAACCACAGAAGAGAAAAAGAAAAATATATATCGTTCATACTTTTCCACATATTTTCCATGTATTGTCCTTATTTCTTCCTTTCTGTGAATCTTAAGTTCCCTCTTAGTTTATTTCCCTTTGATTTGAAGAACATCCCACAATATTTCTTCTAGAAGGAGTCTATTGGTGGCTAATGCTTCAGCTTCTATCAGAAAATGTTCTTATTCCATCTTAATTTTTACATAACATTTTGATGAATGTGTGTTCTCTCAATTCTTGAATTCTAGATCCTGACCATAAAGAAGGCAAAAGAACATTTTCAGCCGTCAGGGATTGGGACAGCAATTTTGAGGAGCTGATTATTTTAAGTTTTAGATAAAATAAGGATGGAGATGGGCCAATGAGGGCCAACACAGGCTTCCAAAACTGGGGTGGATTAAAAACGAACAGCAAGCCGGGCGCTGGTGGCTCACATCTGTAATCCTAGCTACTCAGGAGGCTGAGATCTGAGGATCGCAGTTTTTAAGCCAGCCCTGACAGGAAAGACTGTGAGACTGTTATCTCCAATAAACCACTAGGAAACCGGAAGTGGCACTGTAACTCAAGTGGTAGAGTGCTAGCCTTGAGCTGAAGAGCTCAGGGACAGAGCCCAAGCCCAGAGTTTAAGCACCACGACTGACCAAAAAAAAAAAAAAAATCCAAACAAAAAATGAACAGCAAGGGTTGTTATTGGCAGACATGGACTGACTTCTACAGATGAGAAGGACTTTAAAGCTTTTGTTATATTTCAGAGTATAAAACTATGGAACTTGAACTCAGAGCCTGGGTGATGTATCTGAGCTTTTGTGCACACGGATCACACAATTGCCTGGTTCCAGAATCTCGGCTCTGGAATCATGCCTTCTGTCTCCCATCTCAGCCAAAAGTGAGGCCTAGAAAGCTGACCTATTAGATGGTTCATTTTAGGTATTAGCTGATTGGATTAAGGATGATAGATAATATAGCAAAAAAAATCATTATAAGAATGACGTGGTGAGAATTCTCTCTCCATGTGTCTGTGAGGGGAGCTTGACATGGGAGCCAATGGTCTGATTGGCCCGGTGGGGACTGGCACCATCCAATCAGCTGGATGATCTGGTAGAACAATAGGAAGACACACACTCATTCTCTTTTGGAGTTGGTGGATATACTCCTATTGTTTGCCACAAGAACTCACAGGGCCTTTGGCCTTTCAACTCTAGAACTCACACCAACAACTCTAAAGTCATTTAGGTGATTTGCTTCTGGGAATTACACATCATTGCTTCTTGAATCCTAAGCTCTTAGCATTAGCACTGAGCCAGATCCCAGGGTTTCCAGTTGTAGACCTATAGGACTTGTCAGCCTTGTTTATCCCATGGGCCAGTCTCCCTAACCAGGGTCACCTCTCCTATAGCTACCTCTGTACCTCTATACCTCTACCTCTATACCTCTACTTCTGGAAACTTCTCTGAGACTCTGGCTCCTCCTACAAATGGGTTTTGGTCACTAGCAGCTTATTTGCATTTAGATGATAAAATAATAACACTGCATAGAGATGCATATGAAGAAATAAAATAAGTGGCTGATACCTAGACAAACAATTTTTTAAACACTATGGCTATGGTGGGCAGTTCTGGAAAACTCACAGGCGCACTAGATTTATGGTTTGTTGTTTACACCCTAAGTGAAGAGGGTTGAGTTCTAAATTGTAAGTAAAGATGTTAAAAAGGTTAAATTGGGCAACAATGTGGGAGAACAAATTAAAAGGTAGTGCCTCTCCCGGGCCCTTCCCTTTGGTTAGCACAATTGCAAAATGCGGATGACTTCGTCATCTTCCAGAATGCCACCTCTCTGTGAGTATTTGTATTTCTGGAACATTCACCCCAAGCAGTATGATTGTATTTTCCCCCTAGTGTTAATTCACGGTTGTTTAGGAAGCCAAAGTTTACTCTCTCTCTCTCTCTTTCTCCCTCTCTTTCTCTCTCTCCCTCTTTCTCGACTTTGTGGGGTGAGCAGAGATGTTTTCAAATATGGGTGCTGTTCCTTTAAATTCTGGAAGTAAACTTGGCTCAGGGAAGGCCAGCAGCTCAAGGTCCAGCCCCTAGAAAAGAGAATAGCTACAGATTGTCCATCCTCAGTCTGTGGAAGGGGCCAGCTGTGCCAGCTGGGTTGTGCCAGGCTCCTGGCAAGCATGGAAGTAAAGCTTGGGACTGTCTTGCTGGTCTTGTGGCTCAGCCTGGCTCAGCCAGCTTTTGCCCGCAGGAAGCTCCTAGTGTTTCTACTGGATGGTTTTCGCTCAGACTATATCAGTGATGAGGCCCTGGAATCCTTGCCTGGCTTCAAAGAGATCGTGAGCCGGGGAGTAAAAGTGGATTACTTGACGCCCGACTTTCCTAGTCTCTCCTACCCCAATTACTACACCTTAATGACTGGTGAGTACTGGCCCCGCTTCTTGGAGTTGAGTTGAGGCTAGAACCAAGCAGGGAACATGGGAAACAAACTAGCATGGGAGATTTACCTGTTTTGGTTTCCATAATTCCTTCCTCAGGACTCCAAAACAGGCAGGGGGGTATTCATGGATGATAAGACTCCCCCGTCTATCCCCCTCCACCCCCACGTACTCCAGTTGTATTGTTTCCCAATATTTCTCACAAGGTCCTCTTTCAGATTCTTAGTATGGAGAAGATATAGCAATGGATGGTAGCTGATGCTTTTGCAAGTGATTGTGGACAAGTGACAAATCCTGGCTAACTCTATGTTTTGTAGCTTCAAGGATAAAACATGGACCAGTGTCCACGTGATCACATCAAATTCCCCGTGTCTCTTTCTTCTGTGTTCCCCTATTTTCTTGGAGCGGTGCTCCTTGGTTTTTCAATGTAGTGGACTGTGAAGGTTTCTCATAGGAGTCCTCAGATAGTCCTCCTGGAAGGCCAGGAGAGGAATTTTAGGCCACACCCTTTGGTTTCAGTAATGCTGCTTTCCCTTCTTTTGCTTATTTTGGAGTTCAGCAAGATGATGTAGAGATGAAAAGTACTGTGTAGTTCAGGTTCCCTATTTTCACTTCTAACCTCTATAAAGAGCAATCAGACAAAAACTAACAACAGGCTCTGAGTTCAAGCCCCAGGACTGACAAAAACCAAACAATAACAACAAAAAACAAACAATAACAACAACAAAAAGTCCTCTAACAAAACAAAGGAAAGTCCAGCTAACCAGGCTACATGCTTTGGGGTAAGTGGACTTGCCTAGGAATGCCCTTCACCTGGAATGACTGCAACTGGACCCTCCAGCCTGGTCCTCCAGCCTGCCCCTTCTCTGTGCGATTATATATGCAGCTCTCTTGTGGCCCGCACAATGGGATTCCCAGCTTTTGGTGTGCTTTTCACTCACCTTTATAAGAGCCAGCAAGAGACTCAAAGAATTTAGCAAGTTATCCAGAGAGGCTATTCCAGTTCACTGTTATTGAGGGTTATGCAGGCCTTAACTATGTGTTCTGAGGCCAGGGAGAACTTTGTCAATTATGTTAGCAAATCAGGCATGAGAACTCTGGTATCTCATTACAGATAGCTCCAGAACACCAAAGCTAAAGGAGTCTGAAAAAATAGACTGATCTCTTCACCTGTGTGCTCTGAGCACAGGGAGAGCCTAATAGATGATAGGAACAGGAAAAAAAAAAGATGAGAATTCTGAAATCTCTTACTTCATGTGTGGGTACTGTAGACAGGTGCACATAAAAATGCTCTTAACTGATGTTCAACATTACAGGAAGAGATAGTTGTGTTGCTCTTGGAGGAAGAGGGGGGAAAAAGGCAGAATGCACACAAACATCACATATATTATTTATTTATTGTTCCCCAACAGACAAAAAACTCCCAGTATCTAAGATAAACAGAATTAACAAAAGCCTCTCTGGTCTTTGCTTGGCCTGCTTCTCCCTTGCAGGGAAGCAGTTTGTAGGCTGCTAGGCCACACATAGAAGTTATTGTATGGTCCAGCCTGACTTCAGCTCTTTACAGCAAGTTTCATACACATGGACTACCCTCTCTCCGCTTGTCCTCCAGGGCCTTGCTGGGAGACGCAATTCATAAACTGCCACGTGCAGCTTTCTCAATAACAGTGGAAAATGAACAAAATCTATTTTAGAAAGACTCTAGTAAATTAAAACAAAACAAAACAAGACGGGGTGGGGGAGGACCCTTATAAGCTCCACAGAGGCTCCCAGTTGGTGACATGGTCTTTTGTTTGTCAGATCCACATTCCCGACACTGGCACAAAGCCTCTGCCACACTGAGACACACTTACTTTTCAGGCAATGGGTGTTTTCATTTCTGGCCTTCTGATGGGGAGAAGGTCCAGCTCCATTGAATACTTGACTACAATTTCACCCTTACTTTCAAACTGAGACTGGCTATAAAAATCTCCATACACATTATTTCTGTAGATCTTGTAAATGCAAAATATATGATGGATTTGAAAGTTCTGTTTGGGATACAAGTTGGCCTTTCCACTTTTTTTAGAAGCAATACTACATACAAGACCTGTCTAGCAATGCTCATGTTTATGTACAAATGTCTTCGGGTGTGATTTGTGTATATCTGCTGAGCAAATACACAATTCAGGGGCAGAATTTGGAGGCTTTGGAAGTTACCTCACCTTTGCTGTCCTAGACCTGACTCAGCGATCAATTTGAACTGTTTTCCTCAATCACCCTGCTTATTTTCCACCTGATGTTGAAAAATGATTTTTTTCTTAAGTAAGAAAACTATAATTCCATTGAGAATGATACTTAAACTATTGGTTTAAACATTTGAACATTTTATGAACCAACCAGATCTTTCGGATTCCAAAAGAGAGAGGCTGTTTTAGGATTTCTCATCATGCATAAGAGAATGCACTACCATCTCACTTCATTATGTCAAGTATTGTATGAAAGACATAAAGCCCTTGATATTCTTCCTCTTTACATCATGAGGTTACCGGATGGGGAGGTGCTTGGAGTCCACACAACTTACTTGGGCATCGGTCTTTGCAGGAAAGACTCCAGCAGGCCTTTGTCTTGCATTTGGCCTCTGTTTCCTCAGCTGTAAAATAAAGTGAGATGAACTGCAAGGTCTGAATCAGGCAGAGGTTTCAGGGACTGTCAGATGCAGACATAAAGTAAGCAAGGCAGAGAAAATTACAAATGCTTCCAGGTGCTGGTGGCTCACGCCTGTAATCCTAGCTAGTCAGGAGGCTGAGATCTGAGGATCACAGCTGGAAGCCAGAGCAGGCAGGAAAGTCTGTGAGATTTTTTTTTATCTCCAATTCACTACCAGTAAGCCAGAAGTCTTGCTGCAACTCAAAGTGGTAGATTACTAGCCTTGAGCAATAGAGCTCAGGGACAGTGTCCACGCTCTGAGTTCAAGCCCTATCACCACCAAAAAAAAGTAAGAGAATTATGAATGTTAGGTAGGACTTCTTGCTCTTTTTTATAGGTTAGTTGTGGTTTGTGCCCCAAGAATCCATGTATTACAGGATTGGTCCTTGATGTTGAGAAACAGTGTGGGTCCTAGTGGGAGGTCTTTAGGTCATTGGGGGCTCAGCCCAAATAAAAACAACTCTCATAGGGCTGCTAACTTCTGTTTCAGGCTGTGATTTCTTCCTTCCACACGCATTCCACCATGACAACTTTCTGCCATCAAGCCTTTGCCCAAGACCAAACCAAAAGAATTACTTAATCTGGGACTTTCAGCTTCCAGAAATGTGAAACTTTTCTTTATGAAGTTACCCAGCCTTAGATATTTTACTATAGCAAAAGACAAATACACTACTCTGAGAGGCCATTGTGTAGAAATTAAGCAAATGGCTAAAACTCCTTAGAGAAGGAGAATTTCATAGGGAAGTCATGTGGTTGAGAGGTGAGAAATTCAGCAGTCATATTTGTAAGGAGTCTTGGAAAACCTCTAGCCCAGTCACTGACATGAATACACTATGGCAGAATTGTTTGGTCTTCAAAAATGTGTTTTTTTTTTGTGTCTGGTTGTGGGGCCTGAACTCTGGGCCTGGGTGCTGTCCCTCAGCTCTTCAGCTCAAGGCTAGCACTCTACCACTTGAGCCACAGCGCCACTTCCGGCTTTTTTTTTTTTTGCTTATGTGGTGCTGAGGAATCGAACCCAGGGCCTCAGGCATGCAAGGCAAGTGCTCTACCACTGAGCCACCTTCCCAGCTCCCAAAAATGTGTTTTTAAAGCTAGGAACTGGTAGCTTATGACTGTAATCCTATCTACTCCGGAGACTGAGATTTGAGGCTCACGGTTCAAAGCCAGCCCAGGCAAGAAAAGTCTGAGATTCTTATCTCCAAATAACCACAAAAAGACAGAAGTGGAGCTGTGGCTCAAGTGGTAGAGAGCCAGCCTTGAGCAAAACTTCTCAGGGACAGTGCCCAGAGTTCAAGCCCAAATACCAGCACAAAAATAAAGTGTTTGCTGTATTAAAAAAAATTCCATGAATTTGATCAAGAATGTCAATCCAACAATTAATTGCTGGGAGCACTGATTTCGAGCCAGTAAAATGGTTTAAATTTTGAAAGCTCACCTTTTTATCCAAGGAGTTTACATTCAAGTTAAGGGAGAAAGACTCTCAGAGAATGGCTACTCAGTAATAAGTTAAAATGAATGACAAGGTGTGAGGAGCAGAATTGTGCCTTGCGCTCTTCCCTGTCTCTAGTTGACATTTTCAATACCTAGTCAGGATATAGCTGTACTTGTAGATAAGATCTTTAAAGAGGGGATTCATATAAGGTTGTTACAGTGGACTTTATTCCAATATAACTGTTTGTAGAAGGAAAGAAGAGACTCCAGGGTTATCTGTGCCCAGAGAAAGGCCAAGTTTTGAGTTATGACACAGTAAGAAGAGGCCATCTGCTAACCAAGAAGAGAGGCCTCAGAAGAAACTAAGTCAGTCAACACATTCACCTTGGACTTTTAGCTTCCAGATGCTGAAAACAAAATTTCTGTTGTTTAAGTCATTCAACCTGTGGTTGTTTGTTATGGCAACCCAAGCTTCCTCAAGCAAATAATAGTTGCCCAATACACTATAGAAAACAGAGGAAAGGAGAATGACTTTCCAGTTGGAGTAGCATGAGGAAGCATTTTGAAGATGGGATCTGAGCTGGGGTAGCCATGAGCATGAAATCACTAGCTAATTTTTTTAATGCATAAGCTTTCTGAAGAGCTGTTTGTAAATAAACTTAAGCTTAGTTGGTAGACAACAATAGTTTAAATGCAATTGAAATGCTGTCTTACTTTATCTTACTATGGACCTTTGTGAAAAACTAGTCTCTTTTTGAGGATGAACCCACATTGGAAGGAAAATAATGATTTATTCAATCCTGATCATGGTTAAGAGAATATACTACATATGTTTTAAGGCAGCATAAATTAGTTTTGTTTTGC